TATTAAATTATTCTGTTATATTCTAACGTGTTTACAAATAGAATAAGAGTTTGATTAGTATGCTGTGTTTACTATGTTTGGGTTTTCATGATTTATTGAGTGTTAGTTTATGTTTTAAGTGTCAAATGTTTATTATTGTTCTCGTTTGGGTTAAAATTAACGTTGTTTTGTTGGGGCCGTTCTTTAAGTTACTGGGTTTCATGCCTTACGCATTTTTGTGGTTGGATTTATTGTCCTACTCAGCTTTGGTGTATCAACGCGATATATCGAACCTATAGGTTCGAATGGTACGTTTTGTTTTTTTTGTTGTTTGTCTTTTTTCTTCATTATTTTATGGTGTTTGGTTAGTATACAATAGAAACATTAGAAAGACAATATATTCTCTTTCTAATGTTTCTATTGTTACTGATGTTTATTGTTTTTTTATAAAGTTTAAGCAGTGTGCCTTTCTTGGGGTTTTAAAGGTATCTGTCGTGTTTATTTTTTGCAAATTATGTGTTAGGTCATGCATAAGCTTGAGGATACTTATCAATTTTTGCGGATGGTCTCTTCCCCTCTTTTGTTTGTCTAGTAAAAAGCCTCCAATAGCAGGTGGTAGGACCACCCAGAAGCTGAAACTTGTCACTTAACTCTTTCTTATCACTTAACACTTCACTCTTTATTGACCGTTACACTATATTAGATTGCACTTTATGAAAATTTGTTTGTTGGTTTTGTCCTCTTTTGTTTGTCCAGTAAAAAGCGTCCAGCTGAGGGGTGGTATGACCGCCCAGAAGCTCACTTTTCACTTAACTCTTTCTTCTCACTTAACTTTTAACTTATTCTTGACCGTAGGGTAGTCTATACTCACTGAAGTTGGTTCACTATAATTTGTTTGCACTTTTGAGAAATTATTTGTTGGTTTTAAGAGCTCTCGCTGCTACAATGCGTCTTGCCTTGTCAAGTGCTGGGATGTGACTGAATGATATTAAAATGATATATATTTTATATATCCAAAAATAAATTTTATGTTATTACATTAATTGTATGTAAAAATTACATTAGGATGATATGTCATTCTGACATTGGTATGATATGTCATTATGACATCAGTTAAATATCATTATTTTAATATCCGTTACGAAATGTTAAAATTATATTAATTTTATGTTTAAATAACATCAGTTACAATTGGTTACAGTTTTTGTATTTTCTTTAATAATATTAATAAATTCATTTAAAATGGTAAAATATTTTTGGTTACAATTTTTGAAGAGGAGTAAAATGGTGCAAAACACAACATTTAAAACGATTATTAATCAGATTAATTTAATCTGTATACATATATACATATGTATATATATGTATATATATACATATTTACAGGGTGGGCCAATGGAAAGTTTCCACCCCGGTTTTCTCAAAAAATAAAAAACGCTCGCACCCGTCGATTTCTGATTTGAGGGGGACAATTTATTTTTATATTTTAAACCCCTAAGCGTGGGTGATAGTTACCCCTAAAATTTAAATAGGAAAGGGGGGTCAAGTGATACTTTTATATACCCTCTAAGTTTGAACTCGCTGCTAGCATCCCCGTTGATATGACAGCTTGTTAAAATCTTGGAAATAGATCACGTTTTATTATAAGTAAAAACAATACTTACCTTAATCAAAATATCCGCCCTCGGTGGTGTAGTAGTTAGCACTGCGGACTACAAGCCGAGAGGTCGTGGGTTCGAATCCCACCAGGGGTATGGTTGTTTATTTGTGTTTGTCATTGTGTATTTCTGTAATTGGGCCTGGTGCCTGTTGAAAGCACATTAAAAATAATAAAATAAAATAAAATATCTACTAATTAAAGTTTTAAAGTTTTATTATTATTAATAAAAAGTTATTTACATGATATTTATTTAATAAACTGTTCAAAATGTCCTCCATTAACATTCATGCAATAATAAAATCGATTCTCTACCTCTTCTCTAACATTCTGCAACATATCGGTAGTTATCCTTTGACACTCTTCAGTTATTCGTTCTTGTAGAACTTGAAGAGAAGCTGGCTGTGTTTTATAAATTTTAGACTTCAAATGGCCCCATAGAAAGAAGTCCAGAGGTGAAAGATCAGGGGACCTTGCAGGCCACTCAATAGGTCCTCTTCCATCCAATGGTCTCTAAAATTTTCATTTAGAAATTGCTGAACGGGTGCTGCATAATGCGGTTATTGAAAAAACATTTCATTTTGCAACAAGTTATCTTCAGCACTAACTTCCCTTATTCTAGGAACAATATTTTCTTCAAGTAAAGTCAGATCTGACGATACATAGCCCCAGTCAAATTGCCTTGTAAAAAGAATGGTCCAATTATGTTATTGCCTAGAATACCTGCCCAGACATTTAACTTTTCAGGATTTTGAGTATGAGACTCTCTAAATAAATGTGGATTTGTATCGACAATTATGTCGATTGACTAATCCATGTAAAAAAAAAGGAGCATTCATCTGAAAAGCAGACATTATAAAGAAAATTTAGATTGCCAACACACCGTTCACTCATTTCTTCTACAAATTGTAATCGTCGTTCATAATCATCCTCATTAAGTTCGTGAAGCAATTATTGTATCTTGTAGGTGTAAAATTTGTGAACCTTCAAAATTCTCCTTACGCTTGTTCGTGATATGCCGGAAACTTCGGACAATTGCCTAGTACTTAAGGTGTTATCCATTGCAATGTGCCCTATGACTGCGATTTGCATACCTTCATTCCTAACGACACGAATCGGATTATCTTTTTTGTTCTCCACTGTTCCAGTTTCCAAAAACTTTACCAACACTTTCCTAATATAAGTATAAGAGACATTTTTGTCCTGATGTCTTACATTAAATAGTCGTGCTGTTTGTCTTGCACAGTCATTGTTTTTGAAATAAGTATAAACTAATTCAACTCGCTCGGCTATAGTGTATACCATAATTAAATTTAGTTATAAGCTCTCGAACTAACGATAATAATCTTAATGATGATTGTGCGACAATATTTTGTAAATAAAGTTTACAAAAAACACACTTTTTTCTTCAAACGTAAAAAAAACTGATGTTTTGCTAATATTTACTTCATTCCTTCAGCATACCTACAGACTGTCTCAAAAGTATCGCTTTTACTCTTACTAAAATAATAGCCAATTTTCAAGATTTTAACAAGCTGTCATATCAATGGGGATGATAGGAGCGAGTTTAAACTTGGAAGGTATAATCAGGGCAAAAATACCTTCAAAAAGAAGTATCACTCGACCCCCTTTTTCTATTCAAATTTTGGGGGTAACTTTCACCCACGCTCAGGGGTTGAAGTTAAGGGGTTGAAAATATAAAAACAAATTGTCACACACAAATCATAAATCGACGGGTGCGAGCGTTTTTTAATTTTTTTCGTAACACCTGAGAAAACCGGGTGGAAACTTCCCACCCTGTATAAACAGCACAAACCCAAATCACAAGAATTAGAAATAACAAAAATGGCCGCCGTTAAACTCTGTGCAGTTTTGCAGTGATTTTTAGTATCTTTAGTGCGAGATAGAACAGACCTTGTTGTGTGGTTGTGGTTATAGGTATAATAAATATGTTCCCATAGGACAGACATTTGATGTAAATAATGCTCAATAATTTCTTACTTTATTTGGTTGCATTATAAAGCAACCCACCATATTTATATAAACGTGTGACGTTTTTTATGGATGACTCCTTGACATGTTATGTAATACCTAAACATTCCTTATAAGGACCATAAATAACATGGCATGTTATAAAGGGGGTGTCTACCTCAGTTAATCTGAAAACTGTTACCTACATGAGCTTTGATATCAAGATTTAGCTCCTCTCTTCAGTACAGTACCAATTTTTTAATTTTCTTTATGTAATACGTGAACTTTCCGTTATATATATATATATATAGGGAAGCTTAAAGTTCCAATAATTTTCTCCGAACCAAGTCCGAATTAATTAATTAATCAAACACCAAAAATATTGAATATGTTTAAATTAACCACAGAAGAACCAACTTTATGTTACAATATCTACAATATCTTACAATATCTATTAATACATACCTATATTTACTCTACTGCTCTATATATTTTATTTTTAAAGGTATACAGGGTGCACCAAATATTCTATTAGGTATATATGCATTATGCATATATGTATTATTATAATATTAGTATATTTTTTATTTAAAGAGCTACGAGGTCGGTTAAATTGAAATGTAAATAAGTTGCGTAATTACAAGCCTTTTAACATGAAATTTATAAATTGGAAAATATTTAAAAAAAACTAGAAACCTTTTAAAAACAAATTGTTATTCCTGGGAATTAAACCAGGACAAAACCAGTACACAATTAAAACCAGGAAACATAAGCAAAAACCAGAACTTGTCCTGGGAAAACCAGGACGGTTTGTCACCTTAAGTTTGATACATCGTTATATTCCGAAATTGTTTTTCTATCTAGTTATGGAAATAATACTATAGTATAGTATTATAATATTATTTCTATGTATCTAATCATGTAAAATTTAAATATGGCGGCCATAGGAACAACAAAAGATGGTGGTAGTCACAATTGTGGTGGTAGTATCTCAAAATCCAGTAGGCGAAAAAATTACAAATTGGATGAAAATGTTAATAAATGCGTATGTATCTTGGTTTACATGTAACTTCCTTTTTTTCGAAATTCTCAGGAACAACGAAGTTGCAACGATTTTTGGTTTTAACAGGTTTTCAGTTTTGTTTTAATTATTTGAGAACCGCTGAATTTTTATCGACTTGTAATGCAACTTTTGTCTAATTTAACCGACCTTGTAGCTCTTCAAATAAAAAAGATATCCATACATAGAAGGGTACTTGGTGTACCCTGTATATTGACTTTAAATTTGTCACAATCATTTAATTAATTAAAAAAAACTTAAATTACAGAAGCATATTATAGGTTGTCAAATTGGGTAGATTTTAATTTTTTTTTTAATCAAACCTATTTTTAGGTACACAAATAGAACCAGCCGTTGCCAAAACTGTACAAGGGTACAAATATTTAGACTATGAACCTGAAGGACCATACTACTATTTAAATTTGACAAGATCATGGATAGATCAGTTTGAAAAAAGTTTAAATTAACTTTGAGTAGGAACATTCCAATTTAAATGTTTTTAAAATGTGTTTTTATGGCTGTGATGTAATTTAATAAATATTTAATAATTAAAATGTTTTACCTATAACAATAGTTTTTTTTAATTATTTCTTATAAATAAAATACTCTTAATTTTTATTTTTTATTTTAAAATAAATATTTTACCATAAGCTTACAGGTACAAAAATATAACATGTACATTCATAATAGTAATAGGTCTAGGTGTACACATAAACACACTTAAATTAAATTTAGAAAACTGTTGTTTGAAAAAATATAGTAGGGGGGGCGTCCATAAATATCGTGACGCTGGCGGGGGAGGGGTGTTTTAAAGGACCATCACGATTTGTCAACCTGAGGAGGGTGTTTTAAAACGTCACGTGACAGTAAAACGAATGAGATTGCTTATTTTTTTTTAATTTTTTGCCAACTTATTAGAAAAAAAAGAAAAATATTTTTAGGGGAAGAGTTCGATACTTTGTCATATGCCCCTTCGTCACATTATGTCACGAGGGAGGGAAAGGGGGACAACTTTGACTATTTTTAGCGTCACGAGTTTTATAGACGGCCCTTAGGTATTTTCGAATTTCAAATATTACCAAGTCACTCTAAAACAATATAAATTATTATAAAATTATAAATTATTGAATAAACCTAGCCATAGGTTATAAGTCTAATAATTATAAAGGTGTAGGGAACAACAATATCAAGTATTAAATAAAAACTCGTCAAATTGCTTTTAACTTACCCAATTGACAAAACTTAATTTTTCGTATAAGGAAGCACCATCATAAAAAAGAAATAAGTAACAGAATAATGTAAAAGTAAAAGAAAACTTAAAACAAAACAATAATAATTAAATCGATCGTTTTTATACTTAAAACAAAACTTAATAATATATATCATTCAGTTTTAATACAAACTTTAACTTAAGTTAATTAAGTTGTTTAGAATTTCATACAAGGTGTAAAATAGTCATCAGACTTTAAGGACCGTAATAACATTTTAAGGGAGTATTATAATAGTATATATAATAGTCTTATTTTCTTTCAAATATTCATTTAGCAATTAATTATTTTCAAAAATATCAAATAAAACTTATTTTACAATCAAAAATCCATGTACATTAGCTATAAACTTGTCAAAATTATCTTTAAATTTAGTTTTTTGTTGCCTTTCACATGTAAGGTTAACATTTAACATTAAACTATTAAACGCTGCAGCTAAACGCTCAGCAACCAGGGGGTCAGTCTGCATTTGTATTAAACTGTTCACTAACATTTGGTACTCATCCTGAAAACTGCAAATCAATTCGTATATAATAACACTAGCAGATGAAATTAGATCGGAACATATTTGATGGGAAAGCGTTAAATCCATAAGAAGTTTGAGGTAATATTTAATAGCTTGTCCAAATTCCGTTTGTGCAAGTTTTTGCTTGAAAACGTGTAAAGCAAGACCTTCTAAGAATTCTAAGCAGTTATGTACGGCGTCTTGCCCGAAGCTGGTCAAGCCAATCTCAATTGATTGCAACATGGTGTTTCTTAAATTTTGAGGAAGTCCCACTATTTTCTCCGGGTAAATATCATTGATTAACACTAAAAGTCTGTAGTATTGCGCACATAAACAAGGATACTTGAGCAAGTCGATTGTCATTAGAGGCATGACGAAATTTAGGCCGAATAGAGCGACATCTGATGCAGTTATTAGAGTTTCTTCATTAGTGTTTATATTATACATGTCTATACAATCTTTGGATAAGGTGTGGGTAAACAAATCTAAAACTAAGGCTAAATCCTGCAAGTTGCTTTCTTCGGCAAACGCTTCCGAAGTAAACCGATTCGCGTTGCATTTCGAGTAATTTTGTACGATTGCCAGCGAACAGTCGTAAAGCGTTTTGGTATGATTTGGGCTTAAGAAACATAGTATATTTTTGGCGCAGTCACAGAACAATTCTAGGATAAGTTGAACTATAATTTGATAATTGCTGTATACAGTCATAAATACGGGTATTTCCCCTAACATGGGCGCGATAAATTGAAATATATTCGAGGCAGTGTTACTTTGGACGCCTATTACAACACCGGACAATAGTTCAACAATGTCGATAAACACTTTTTGCACATCTTCGTTATGGTAAACCCTAGTCAAATTTTCTTGACTTAAAAACGTTTTAAGACGATTTTGAACAGGTCTCAATATCAAGTCATAGTAGGCGTTCAATTCATTGGGGTCCTTAATAGTAGATCCCGCTAATATAATTCCTTTCATGACGTTTTTTAATATGCCTGGAGGAAGTACTCCCACACCCAGCGCTTGCTGCCACTGTATTAAACGTCGCATTCCCTCGGTTTTAACGACACAAGTATTTCTGAAAAAAAGATATATCAACATTTTAAAATTAATCGGTTACTCAGTCGATTTAGGCCAGCCACATTAAAACTGAGGCCCGCCAACCCTTTGTTTGCGGCCTTTGGGCCTAGACACAGTAATTTTTGGATAAAAAAATGCCCACATAATTCAAAACATTTTTTACACAGTCTTGTAAGATAGATAAGGGCAATTTTTTTTCTATAATGACGCAATTTTTATTGCTCGTGTAGTGGCCAAGTATGTACATTGAAGTAGCTTCCAAATTTGACTGTGCGAGTCTGAAACTCCTTGAATCAAAGTTATAAAATACACGGCGTTAGACGAGCCGCCCTAATACTTTTATGTAAGAAATGGTGGGGTTTTTAAAGTACCGGGCCTCTAAAAATCATTTGTTAATGTTGTGTTCGTATAAAATCCCTGGCATTTACAAACCGCCGGTTTCAAACAACTTGCTGCATTTGGATTTGACCACACAAAATTATTTAATAAATTTATTAAATTTAAAACCGACTCGAATCTGGGAGCAATTGTTAAATAAAAAAAGAAATAAAAGAATGGAAAGAATTTTTTTTGGAAATTAGTAGGTACCCGATAACTTGAAACGCGTCCAAAAATTTTTGAGATTATCATTATTTTAAAAGGTCCAGATGGGATTGACATGGCACTATACAAACGCCTATGTCGCGCGAACTTTAATCGCCTCCTGTAAAGTTTGATTTTTGGATTCTAGGTATTTTTTCTCGGATCGCGTCACATATGTAAAAAAAAAATGAAGTAGTAATGTAGCCGGATTTAACTAAAATTGTCAACAATCACAATGTGACTTATTTTAAAATAAATGATAACGTTTAAATGTTTTATTGTAATATGCCTAATGTGGCAGTCATATATACATATATATATATATATATATATATATAGTATTTGGCCCAAGAAAAAAGTATGAGTCCGGAAAAATAAGAACAATTATTTTCAAGCTGTGGTTTTATTTTGTCAGGTTAAATCGTTATAGGTATCGTTTTTACGCCACTTTTTAAATTAAAGAGAATTTAAGGCATAATATACTAAAGTTAAGTGGTTCGCTTATATTAACAGAATTTTACCACCCAATATCGAAAAATAAAGGTACCTGATCAAATAAACTATGGTCGAATTTTGCTTCCTCTTTGTAAAACAGGGTATTATGGTATGGTAGTTTTAAAAAGTAACAAAAAACTTATGATTTTGTAAAGTTACATCTCTACAGGTAACTATTCTTTCCTGATTATATAGCATTTATTTAATCTTACAAAATTTGCTCGCAGCTGGTCAAACTTGGTAATTAAATTATATGCACTACTTTTATTTTTTGATCATCTGTACTTTTTTTTGATAAACCCTCGACTTGTAAATTTTTGATGATTTATGATGAAATCTTACTCTTTTACTTACTTTTGTTTGATGCAAACAATATCACAGAATAAGTCCACTGTGTCTCTCATTAATATTGGTTCTGATTGGTAAAAATACATATTTGATTGTACTTTTGATATCAACATGTTAAAAAGTAACATTGCACACTTTGGGTCTTCCTCCAAGATATCAAGAAGGATTGGACTAGCCTGTAAACAACAGAAATGGATATTTATAGATGTTTTGTTCAAAAATTAAAATAAAACTAATTAAATTTAATACATATAGGATTATTTATCTTTAGTACATACATGTACCGTTATTTAGCAAACTAGACACAATTTACCTATTTCAATGTAATTTTTTTAAATAAAATAAATTTTTAAGAAATAAACTTGAACGTCATGTTGTAGAATAAATCGCACAGCAGATTTTTCTCAATTAACCTCACGCCGTGATATCTTATACATTTTGGTAAATTGTGGGCTTATGGCGTGATAAAGAAGTCATTCGCGCAGACAATTATGAGCGCGTTCAAAATAAACGTCCATGTAACATAATAATTTTAACCTCAATTATTCCTGTGCGAGCACATTTTGCACATTAGCGCAATTAGATTGTAGCATTAAATTTAACTTTTAATGCAACAATATTTTTTTAGTTTAAATATTTAGATAAGGCAGTTGAAGTGTATTAGTTTTATTCATAAAATTTATTTAACAGGGTAATGCTGGTTGCATATATTGGGTTATAATTTAAATAATTAAATTTCCAGCATTTGTTTACAAATTTATTTAATCTATTTTTAGAATCATTGTTTTTATATTTTGATACTTTTCAATAATTTACATTTATTAAATAAATCCTTAATTAATTTTAATTTTTGGAAAAGCCTGAAATAAATATAGCATTGGTAGGGTTAATCTAAAAATAATTCATAAGTAATTTACCATGTAATTATATTTATTTTAAAATACATTTAATTGTGTTTTGTCAATTTTGTGCGTTAGGTTTTTATTTCCATTTATGTTTCCAAAAATCCAATTGTTCTTATCAGGGAAGTAAGTCTTCACACTCCATTCATTATCTAAAAAAAAAACAAATAATTAATAATTAATTTACATTATTAAAATACTTACCTTCTCTTATTTCTTTTTAAATATTTGGCGCCCTTTATATGTTTATAATTTCCTTATGCGCACCGAATTACATAGTATTTCCGGGTTGCGATGAGCATGAAAGAATCACGAGGAGAAACGTTTTAGGCACGGTGTCGTGCAGACGTTTTAATTGTCGTTTTGAGTTTTTTTGATCTTTAAACATAATTTAAGTTCTATAAGTGCGTTAGTATTGCCAGAAAAGATCTGTAAGTTTAAATACTTTTTATTTTAGCCAAATATTTATTTTAAATTTTTCTATAGGGCTTCTTCCATTCTTTACTTTTTCGAGTATTGCTCTTTTATTTGTTCACAACGAAAGATTCTTCATTATTTTACGTGAGATTTCATCCTACGTTCCCCATATCACCATTCGTTTGGGTTGAAGAAACAAGTGGTTCTCCGTCCCTCTGGTTGATGCATTCTCCACCGGCAAGCTGGTGAGAAGATTTCAAGATTGCAAACTTCCAAACGAAACGAAACTGGAACTCAACGACTACCTGAGTCAAGAACTCCAGAATTCCACAGAACTCGAAGTTCAAGAAAATCACCGGTGCACCACGTTTGAAACTAAAAATCTGGAGCTACAGGACCTCAGAACAACCCAAGCGAGTCAACACCTATCTGGTATTTTTTATTGTTTTTTTCTACTTTATTTTAATAAAAACAATTGGTGCCCAACTCGATCTTATTTTTTTTCAACCTCAATAATTAAAAATCCACGAACCCTGCTCTCTAATCACCCACTGAGTGTCCGTGAGCATATGGGCCTTTTTTAGGTTACAAGATTTTGCTGTCAGAGCTTACACTTTGCGCTCATTTGATCACTTATCCGTCGGCACATACTCATTCAGCATTAAGAACTTAAAATTTGAGGTAAAATTCATGAAAAATAACATAAAGCTTATATAAACAAAGGATTGCTGTGTGGAAAAGTCCACTTAATTACATGTATTCTTTAAATTCATTAAACAGTTGGATTTTAAAATTGTAACTTACCCCTCCCAAGTACTTCACATTACAAGGCAACAAATATTCGACACACCAACTTCTCAAAAACCACATTAAAGTGGAGCCCAATTCAGGGCTCATGAAATGTCCCAGCTTGTTAGCAATCGCGTACTCCTCAACAAAGGACAACTTGAGAACAACGTAAAGAATCTTAAAAACCATGTCGCACTTGTCGAAATCGTGCGGCTCTCCCGATTTGGCCCCCATCGCGGCCAACGTGTTCATTGTGGCTTCGATGGTTGTGTGTCCCAGTTCCCACTGACGCAGCGAATACGACATGATTTCGGACGGGACGGATGCGCACTCGCCTTGCGATTCGATGCAGAGCACGTTGCCAGTGATCAAGAGTGCCCAATGGATGTCTTCAAATAGATTATCCAACGAGGCGGCTTCGGATATGTTCATTGCGCGATTTTGCATCGTTTGAACGTGGTTTACTAATTTGTTTATCCTAGTATCCAAAACACTAAAAAAATTAAATATTTCTTTAAATCGATTTAAGGGGGAGGGTCAGGCAAAATTGAGGGGAAAGAGTCAAGTACAGAAATTTGAAATGCAAAGGCACTTTTTGATTTAACCTTTGTTTAGAAGGAGAAATGTCATTAAAATATCAGTTTGTAAAAATTTAAGCGTTACGTAACGTACCGGGGGGTCACCTCATTGGTTACGCTGCGTTACGAGAGGGAGGGGTGGTAAAAAATTCCGAAATACAGTAATATTGAACGCTTTCTTCAATTGATTTTTTTATTCGGATTAACCCAGATAGCAAAATGAATTCACTATGAATTCACTACGAATTCACGTGTGAAAATTAAATTCACGCGTGAATTCATATAACGCGACAGATGAGTCCTCAATTGATGCTCAATTTGCCATCACGCGTGAACTTTTTATTTTTTGCGCATGCGCTTTTAGAATATGGATTTCATTTTTCAAAATAATTTAATCTGTCGAAATATTTATTGTAACATCTTAAAAAAATACACAAAAACTTGGTTTAAAAGGCCATAATTGAGTAGCAATCAGACTAAACCAGATAAATCCGGATTGGCCATTTCAACTTTTTGACTGGTTCCTATTTCTTTTGTTTAGATATTTCCATTGGAAATATCTATTTCAAGCTAAACTTGTTATCATAATATGATATGATCATAATATTAATATAATAAGGTATTATATACTAATATTAATATTAGTATATAATATATATATATTATTATAATAAGTTTATCTTGAAATTCACTTTTCCAATTGATTTATCCGACTAAAAGAAATATGAATCATTCAAGAAGTCAAAATGGATTTATCTGGTTTTGGTTGATTGCTCCTCAATTATAGGTTATACATTACAATTATAACCTTAAGGTTAACTAATTAATTAATTAATATATAATATACATACAGTATGTCTCAGTATCTTGGAATCATATGGAAAACTTTTTTATTATTAATTTTAGGAAAAAAAGTTATTCTTCATAAAAAGTTCTGCATGGTGTAAAACTTAAAATGCAACCCACAAATATTATTTTTTTTAGTCGTATACGGGGTATGTCAAAAAATATGAATTTGGCTCAAGAGTAAAGTACCTTTATATTTGACAATATCGAAAATTGTTATAAAGAAAAGTTAATCAGAACTAAAAACTACGTTCAAATATGCAATTACATCCATTTACATTAAAAAAAAATATTTTTTCTTTTTTGTCTACAATATCAATGCAAATTTAACTGTAACATGTAATCTAGGATTCACTGATAAACAAATGATTTGTTGATATTCTAAAACTTTTTGGCCTGCTAGATCCCCTGACTTAACTTAAGGTTTTCATGTGTTTTCTAATCATAACAGATAAATGTTCATTTAAAATAGAAAGATTAGTAAAAATTAACAAAACCTAATTTTTTAATGTAAATGTATGAAATTGCATATTTAAACGTAGTTTTTAGTTCTGATTAACTTTTCTTTATAACAATTTTTGATATTGTCAAATATAAAGGTACTTTACTCTTGCGCCAAATTCATATTTTTTGACATACCTCGTATACGACTAAAAAAAATTAATATTTGTGGGTTGCATTTTAAGTTTTACACCATGCAGAACTTTTTATGAAGAATAACTTTTTTTCCTAAATTTAATAATAAAAAAGTTTTCCATATGATTCCAAGATACTGAGACATACTGTATATTAATTATTAATGACCTTTTAAACCAATATATCCCAGATAGCAAACGTGAATACGAAATCACGCGTGAGTGAATAATGTGTGCTATATGATTTCACACGTGAAGTCTTGAACTCGTAATTCACACGTGAGTAGATTATGAATTCATATTATAGTCTCGTGTGATTTAATCGATTTTATTTAAAAATACATGGATTGCATGATTTAAAACTGCACGTTTAAATATAAATAGAATAATAATATTCTAATATCAAAAATATTATATTAATATATTTTCATTTAATATTGTATGTTATTATAATAAATTATAATTATCTCTGGTAACACCCTCCCTTTCCCCATGTCATAAGACATTTTCAGTCACAATCTTTATTTTAAATGTTTTAAAATACACAAATTAATTATTATATGTATTAATTATATAATATATTAAGTTATAAGTAGTTATATTATATAATTATATATTATAATATATATCAGTGGCGGATTGGGGATTTTGGGTATACCAATATCTCAGTTATTAGACATGGGACCCACACCAAATTTATAATAGTTTATTATGACATTAAATAGACAAGTTCGGCGCAAACAGAATTTAAATTGAAGTTTGCGAAAAAAAAGTTAGTTTTTTGTGTCGCCTCACCTGGCTTCTGGCCCCCCCCATTTGAGATCATTCAAATTAAAGTTGTGCAATTTATACTTCACTATAATTTATCGGTAAATTTAAAATTTTATTTGAAAAATCCAAATATTACAGATTTTATACCATATTAAATATTTTTTTATTATAATAAAATAAATAATAAAAATTTAAAATCGTATAAAATCTGTAATATTTATATTTTTTAAATAAAATTTTAAATTTGTCGATAAATTATAGTGGAGTATAAATTGCACCACTTTAATTTGAATTATCCCAAATGGGGGGGGCCAGAAGCCAGGTAAGGCGACACAAAAAACTAACTTTTTTTCGCAAACTTTAATTTAAATTCTGTTTGCGCAGAACTTGTCTATTTAATGTCATTATAAACTATTATAAATTTGGAGTGGGTCCCACGTCTAATAAGTGAGATATTGGTATACCCAAAATCCCCAATCCGCCACTGATATATATTATTATAATTATATATATTATAGTAATATATATAATTACATAATATATATTGGTTTAAAAGGTCATAATTATATGTTATAGGTACATTAATAATTAATATATGTATATTATATATTAATTAATTAATTAGTTAACCTTAAGGTTATAATTGTAATGTATAACCTATAAATGAGGAGCAATCAACCAAAACCAGATAAATCCATTTTGACTTCTTGAATGATTCATATTTCTTTTAGTCGGATAAATCAATTGGAAAAGTGAATTTCAAGATAAACTTATTATAATAATTATAATAATATATAATATATATATATTAGGGTGTTCCTTATTTAGGGGTCGGAAAAAATTTAACAGAGCCGCCCCCCAAATCGGTTCCAAATCATAAAAAAAAAATTCCTGCAAAATTTTAGGTCATTCGGTCAAAGGGAACACGTGCCCCACAGGGGTTTTTTAAGAAATAATTGAGAAAATTCGGAAGGCTGATATAACTCCGAAACGGTCCATCGTAGTAAAAAAAAGTGTATATAAATTTTATGTGTTTTTTTTAGATAAACAACTTTCGTAATAACAGTTCTGCGTTAAAAAAATTTATTCGGGGTCAAAACGCGATAAAACGCTTTTTTGTGTACTTTAGCGCTACCTACTTTTTCAATTTTCTGTCCTAGAGCATCGACCCAATGACATAAATTGTAGGGGACAATGCACCCTACATTTTTTGTTGACAAAATTTTTTTCTTAAACTAACCGATTTTGAAAAAAAATTAAATCCAAAACTTTTTGAGTTTTCACCAAAAACACGTTGTGCTCCGAAACTCCGAAACGGTTTATCGTAGGAAAAAAAAGTTTAAATAAATTTTGTAGTTTTTTTTCAAGCTAATCAACTTTCCTAATGCCTTTGTCACAATAGTGTTAATGTTAATGGTAATGTTTATATAGCATAGACAAATGCGTGTATCAACGTAACCATCAACATTACCATCATTGTGAACGGATACACGCATATTTCTATGCTTTGGGTATTAACATTAACATTACTATTAACATTAACACTATTGTGAGATATAATAATAGTGCTGCGTTAAAAAAAAATCAAGTTCAAAAAGCGATACAACGCTTTTTTTGGCACTTTGGCCCTACCTACTGCTGAAATTTTCGATCGACTTAATAACATAAATTGTAGGGACTACATTTTTTGATAAAAATTTTTTTTCTAAATCTTTTGAGAAAAATAAAATATAAAAAAACAAAAATTGAGTTTTCTCCTTAATCCGGAGTAGGATAACGCAGTTGAGTTTTCTCCTTAATCCGGACTAGGATAACGCAGTTGAGTTTAGGCTTTTCTTATAAGGCCACAATGATTCACGCAAAAAAAAATCTTGCAAAATTTAAGATTAATCCGTCAAAACTAACACGTACGCACGTGTTATTTTTGCCGATTAACCTCAAATTTTGCAAGATTTTTTTTTTGCGTTGATACACGCATTTGTCTATGCTTTATTAACATTACCATTAACATTAACACTATTGTGACAAAGGCATTAGGAAAGTTGATTAGCTTGAAAAAAACTACAAAATATATTTTAACTTTTTTTTCCTACGATAAACCGTTTCGTAGTTTCGGAGCACAACGTGTTTTTAGTGAAAACTCAAAAAGTTTTGGATTTAATTTTTTTCAAAATCGGTTAGTTTAAGAAAAAAATTTTGTCAACAAAAAATGTAGGGTGCATTGTCCCCTACAATTTATGTCATTGGGCCGATGCTCTAGGACAGAAAATTGAAAAAGTAGGTAGCGCTAAAGTACACAAAAAAGCGTTTTATCGCGTTTTGACCCCGAATAAATTTTTTTAACGCAGGACTGTTATTACGAAAGTTGTTTATCTAAAAAAAACTCATAAAATTTATATACCTACACTTTTTTTTCCTACGATGGACCGTTTCGGAGTTATATCAGCCTTCCGAATTTTCTCAATTATTTCTTAAAAAACCCCTGTGGGGCACGTGTTCCCTTTGACCGAATGACCTAAAATTTTGCAGGAATTTTTTTTTTATGATTTGGAACCGATTTGGGGGGCGGCTCTGTTAAATTTTTTCCGACCCCTAAATAAGGAACACCCTAATATATATATATATATTATATACTAATATTAATATTAGTATATAATATAATA